ACAAACAGAAGTCTGTGCAAATAATTATATTTGTCTTCAACAGAGAAACCAGCCAAATTTGCATTGTGAATGTTTGGATCCATATGACTTATCCCAGGTGGTTTTCAGGTGGAGAAAACTTTCTGCAAACAATGAAGTCACTTTTGAAAAAGGATGTTATGACAAGCATATAAAGAAATATGAATACCCTGTAATAACGGTGTAATTAAATGCAATATAAAGCTGAAAAAAGGTTTAATGTACATTTGATTTGGGATTCCAAACTACAAAGTAAGAAAGTGTGACACTCACCAAAAGCTAAACCTAATAGAACATTTTAATATTGGCTCATAAGGTGTCATAACATGTCAGGAGCATATAATTAAACTGAGCAGAAGGACTGGAAAACAAAAGACAGCTGTGAAAGAGTCAAAACTACAGTTCAAATGTCCTAATGAAGGTTGGTTGCAAAGCCAAATCTATGCACACAGCTTCCACACAGGCTGGCTGACTGACTGGATGGATGGAAAAATATATGGATTGGCAAAACTCACCTGTTTTACATTTTATTACAATGTAAAAAAATAGTTACCTTTGTTTTTTTGAATGTTTTTAAGTCAGCATCCAGTATAACTGTCCAGGGATCCATGCTTCCATCTTGCTAACCAGGCTAGCCTGCCAGATAGCATAAGCCAATAACTTTGTCCAAATATGCCCCCCACCCCCGGTTTCAAAGGGAAACAGAGTGCCAAACTTCGAATTTTAAAACAGTAATCCACAAACCATTAGATGGTACGTTGTCACAGTGGCTATTGCCATCATACAAATTTGTATACAATATAAATAACAGGTCAAAGATGCTGAATACTCCACCCACTGCACCACACGGTGTGTTCACCACAAAGGTTTCCTTATTATTTGTTGCAAACTATTGTTGACTGTAAACGCTCAGAGAATCAGGGCGTGAAGCTCTCAGAGGAGGCTGTGACTGTGTGGCCTGACCACTTGGCAAAAAGCTTACAGCCCTACAGCAGAGTCCAACACCAACACCAACAGGATGACAGGCCAAATTATGGTAATAACCTCTCAGTGTGTCAAATCTCATTTTAAAGTGGCACTAAAACGTGTCCTACCGCTGGATTATAAAATGCATTTAACAGGTAAACAAAAGACGAGTGACAATAACAAAAAGGGGGATGAGACCTCATCTACTATTGTAGCCACAGACCCCCTCTGGAGAAATAAATATAGACACAGAAAGACTGGCACATGTGGATAAATGTCATCTCAGCCTCTACATTATTCCTTCTATTACGGTGCCATCTACATTTTTTGACCCATTCCTTTAAATCTACAGATTTGTAACCACATTGCTCAAAGATTTCCAAGAATTTAAATATTTTCCCCAACGGTCACGGCCAGTGAAAACTCTACAGTGATCTAAAAGTTGTAAAGTTTGTAATCAGGTAAAAAGAAAAATATTAGGAGAGCATTCAAATAATGTATTTTTCTGCCAGTGAATATCAAAAGAAAGGCATCTTGGATGGTTGATAGTATAAAGAAACAAGAACAAAAGCAGATGATGGATGTTAAAAAAAACTTTTCTTTTTTAGTGACATTGTATCACATCCTACAGCTCTACTGCTCATGATGAGATGTCTGGCACAGCCTCTCCTCCTATTAGTCCAAAGAAGCTGAAGAGGAGATAATGGACGAAGTTAAAAAGTAGATCTCTGCGCAGACTGAGCAAACAAAGTTGTGAAGTTTGACATTCTTTGGCTTCCTCTGGTAAAACTGTTTGAACAGCACTGAATTTGAAGCTTTTGGCAGGGCCAAGTTATTTAGAGAGTTTGAGTTTTGGTTGGGGGTGGGGGTGGGTTTGGCTTGCTTTATGTTACTCACTATCAAAGGGGCAGTATACTGCGAAGGACCGAGAAGCTTTTAAAAACAGCTGGAACCTGGACACACTTCCTGATGTAATCATAGTTTTGAACTATTTCACTTATTTTAGAAATGTGAAAAAATATATATTGTTGTGGCAACAAAACAGATATCAGCATGGATAAATTTGGTATTACTGAGTGAAATCAGGTGTTGTATGCCAACTTTCCAAAACAGAAACAACCTCCTGCACTATATTGTTACTGCTCTGGATTTTTAGACACACTCCCTTTGGGGTTGTGCCAAGAAAAGCATCCTTCACGAACATCTGCCACACACTTTATTAAACCCCACTTTGTACGTGAGTGGCACTGGATCCACTTATACCTTTGTGTGAACCCAGTTTCAATGTCATCTGCTTTAATCTGTTTAAATGTCTCCTAACATGCATGTGGGATTACAAGAACAACTACAAAGATTGAACCTATTTCATGTTTTTTTATGATGATCATGAAAACTGTATTGGACTGGAATCAGACGCCCCCATTAAATGACTTTCATTTTGGATTCCAGTTAGCTTCATCTCTATTGCAAAAGTATTCGGCCCCCTTGAACTTTCCCACATTTTGTCACATTACAGCCACAAACATGAATCCATTTTACTGGAATTCCACGTGAAAGACCAACACAAAGTGGTGTGCACGTGAGAAGTGGAACGAAAATCATACATGATCCCAAACATTTTTTACAAATAATTAACTGAAAAGTGGGGTGTGCGTAATTATTCAGCCCCTGAGTGCAGTCAGCTGCCCATAGACATTGCCTGATGAGTGCTAATGACTAAATAGAGTGCACCTGTGTGTAATCTAATGTCAGTACAGATACAGCTGCTCTGTGATGGCCTCAGAGGTTGTCTAAGAGAATCTTGGGACCAACAACACCATGAAGTCCAAAGAACACACCAGACAGGTCAGGGATAAAGTTATTGAGAAACTTAAAGCAGGCTTAGACTACAAAAAGATTTCCCAAGCCTTGAACATCCCACGGAGCACTGTTCAAGCGATCATTCAGAAATGGAAGGAGTATGGCACAACTGTAAACCTACCAAGACAAGGACGTCCACCTAAACTCACAGGCCGAACAAGGAGAGCGCTGATCAGAAATGCAGCCAAGAGGCCCATGGTGGCTCTGGACGAGCTGCAGAGATCTACAGCTCAGGTGGGGAATCTGTCCATAGGACAACTATTAGTCGTGCGCTGCACAAAGTTGGCCTTTATGGAAGAGTGGCAAGAAGAAAGCCATCGTTAACAGAAAACCATAAGAAGTCCCGTTTGCAGTTTGCCACAAGCCATGTGGGGGACACAGCAAACATGTGGAAGAAGCTGCTCTGGTCAGATGAGACCAAAATGGAACTTTTTGGCCAAGATGCAAAACACTATGTGTGGCGGAAAACTAACACTGCACATCACTCTGAACACACCATCCCCACTGTCAGATATGGTGGTGGCAGCATCATGCTCTGTGGGTGCTCCTCTTCAGCAGGGACAGGGAAGCTGGTCAGAGTTGATGGGAAGATGGATGGAGCCAAATACAGGGTAGTCTTGGAAGAAAACCTCTTAGAGTCTGCAAAAGACTTGAGACTGGGGCGGAGGTTCACCTTCCAGCAGGACAACGACCCTAAACATAAAGCCAGGGCAACAATGGAACGGTTTAAAACAAAACATATCCATGTGTTAGAATGGCCCAGTCAAAGTCCAGATCTAAATCCAATCCAGAATCTGTGGCAAGAAAACTGCTGTTCATTAACGCTGTCCATCTAATCTGACTGAGCTGGAGCTGTTTTGCAAAGAAGAATGGGCAAAGATTTCAGTCTGTAGATGTGCAAAGCTGGTAGAGACTGGCAGCTGTAATTGCAGCAAAAGGTGGTTCTACAAAGACTCAGGGGGCTGAATAATTACGCACACCCCACTTTGCACTTTGCAGTTATTTATTTGCATAAAATGTTTGGAGTCATGTATGATTTCCGTTCCACTTCTCACGTGTGCACCGCTTTGTGTTGGTCTTTCACGTGAAATTCCAATAAAATTGATTCATGTTTGTGGCTGTAATGTGACAAAATGTGGAAAAGTTCAAGGGGGCCGAATACTTTTGCAAGCCACTGTATGTCTGGTGAGAAGACACCATAATACACCTCAGGATAGATGTGTTTTTGTCATCTCCCTGCTTTTCCAAGCTGCTGATGAACCAAATGTTTCCACTGTGCAGCTATTTAAAGAAATAGAAATGAGTCTACAGGGAATAGCATGGTTTTTCACTGTGACCTCCAAGGCACGGTTCAAGGAAAGAGGTCAAAGGGTTAAAAGTAAGAGCCAGCCTGCTGTATATGATATTAACATCTTGGACTGCAACAAAAGGAACCTATAATATAAATAGTTATGATAAAAGTGTATATAACAAAAACAGCTGTTTCTTGTGCAATCAACTGAATGCACAAATATAATTTATGATGATTAATTCAGCTGAATAAAATAAAAACGTTTCCTTGGAGAATCCAATCTTGTGTCAGCTGGACCCTCTGTTGGGTTCGTGGCACGTCTTTGATCCGGTCGCTCCATAAAATGCAGCCCTCGCCTTCGTCCAGCAGTCTGGGAGATCTTTCCAGCATTCCTTCCTGTTTGTCGTCATGGTGCCAGCAGGACAGCTGGGCTGTATTTAAGGTCCTCCTCTTCTGAACTCTGACCAGAACGACAAAGACACCTTCTGCTACATCACACAGCCAGAGAGGAGGGAAGAATAAACCCTGAACCAAAGGACTCAAATCGGACCCTGAAGACAACTGCACGTTTTTTAGGCTGCAAATAGTTTTGATTCCATGCAGGAAGATGGTCAGTGTGGTGGATAGAGTGGTATTTGTTTTCTTCGTCACAGCACAGGTAGGAATCACAGTGGTAATGAAATATCCCTGTAGGACTTTAGGTTTTAACATGGAAGTGTTTTATTATTTAATACCAGGTAGTTAAATCATTTTAAATAGTTTTATATATATTTGATGTATATTTTTATATTTTTGTTTTACTCGCAATCAGTTTAAAAATGGAGATTTACTAACTTGTGAAATACATTTTTTGTTTTTTCCATAGGTTTTTACACTAGTCTGGTGCCAGGTGTGTCCACGTCGATGCCAGTGCCCTAAAGAGCCTCCCATGTGTCCCCCTGGGGTGCCTCTGGTTCTGGATGATTGCATCTGCTGCCTGGTGTGCGCCCGTCAAAAAGGGCAGGCGTGCTCTGACATGAACCCCTGTGACACACGTAAAGGGCTCCAATGTGACTACTCAGCTGACATCCACAAGAGGACTGGTATTTGTGCAGGTGAATGGGATGATCTTAGGGCTACTACATAGATTTTTCAAAATCATAGCTTAACCCTTCATAGTTTTGTCCTCTCTTGTTGTTTTGCCTTCTTCCTCCAGCTCCCAAGGTAGCTGTGTGTGTTATAGACGGCTCTGTCTACCAGAACGGTCAGACCTTTTTCCCCAGCTGTAAGTACCAGTGCATATGCCGCGACGGGCAGGTAGCATGTGTGTCACGCTGCAACGTGGATGTTATGCTGCCTGGACCAGACTGCCCCATGCCACGCAGGATCCAGGTGCCTGGAGAGTGCTGCGAGAAGTGGGTGTGTGAGCCCCAGGCTGGGGCCAGTGCACTGGGCGGCTTTGCCATGGCAGGTGAGAAGATTGCAAGTAGGATGAAATGAGATGGGCTGTTTATACTGAGGTGTACATAAGCTGCACATTGTTTTTTGAAATTGGAGTCACTCCTCTGTGAGACACAGTGCTAAAAGGTTTTGCATATTTCTTTGACATTTTTAGAGTTAAGGTAGTAAGAACCAGGAGAAGGAGTAAAAGAAGAAATTAGAGTAAGATTTGAGGACGAGGAAGCACAGAACAAAGAGACAGTGTTGCAACATGAGTCTGGAATGTGCAACCTGAGCATGGTCTCTTAAACATGCCAAGGCACATGGTGATCACTGGCTTTTCCAGAATATGCTTTGAAGCTTTTACTTTTAGATTTCTGTCTAAACTGCCTTTCTGTGTTTCATTCAGCCTACCGTCAGGAAGAAACTGTGAGTTTTGACGCTTGGGACCGGAGCCTGAACTGCATTGAGCAGACTACAGAGTGGGGAGCGTGCTCTCAAACGTGCGGCATGGGGGTGTCCACCAGGGTCACAAATAAGAACAGCCGGTGTGAGATGGTGAAGCAGAGTCGGCTGTGTATGATTAGACCCTGCGATGAGCAGCAGGTCCAGCTGACACAGCTTGCACAACAGGTACAATCTGAGTAGAGGTTTCTTCCTTTTCTTTAGCTTGCGTAACTTGACTGCATGAGCTAATTTCACAACGACAAAGCACAAGAATGGAGTTATTTTCCAGAGCGATGTAGCGCACATTAACTGAGTTGTCGTTTCTACCGCTCCCTGCAGAGAGGCAGTAGGTGCCAGAAGATGGTGAGGAGCAGCAAAGCCATTCACCTCTCCTATAAGAACTGCACCAGCGTCCAAGCCTACAAACCTCGGTTCTGTGGCTCCTGCACAGACGGACGCTGCTGCACCCCTCACAGAACCAAAACCGCGCTGGTGGAGTTCCAGTGTGCTAATGGGAAAACTACACGGAGGCCCGTCATGGTGATCACGACGTGCGCCTGCCACCGCCACTGCCCTCGAGACAATGCTGCGTGGCCGCCCTCAGAGCTGGGTTACACTGGCATGCGAATATAGATCAGGGAGTACCCAAAAGTTTATTAGTGAGATCACAATTATCACCAGAGTGTGGCTAATGACTCTGTTTTAAAACCATCTATATCTTTAGTATAAATGAAGAACTATACACACTATATTCAATAGAGCCATAATTTGGGACATGTACACATCTGACATCTGTCCATTGTGGTACATGTATTCATGTATTCATTTTTTGATTCCCCTGGTGAGGAATTGTTTCACATCCTGTGGAAGATAAAAAAATCTTTACTTTTATTAAGTACGATGAAAGCACTTAAACCTTATGACTGGAATGGATTCCATCTGATGCCTCTTCACTTTTGGAGATCAGATACAGCATACTGCAATCCTTCCATAATAGATTTGGACAGATGAGTGTAGGCTGTAAAGAGTCTTTTAAACACCCTCTATTAAAGAGGTAGAGTAGTATGATGATATACAAGCACAGGGTTGTGTCATGACTGTACGAAGCCTTTCTCCAACATAGTGTTTATTGCTAATAAACGCAAGAATACCCTGTATCAGAATAAATGTTACTGTACAGCTTGACACTTGGATTAAAATTCATATTGATAAACAGACAGAAAAGAGGAGAGTGAGAGCAAAGGTTACAACCAGAGGCGATCAGTAACCTTTTCTCCCACCGTGAGACACGTTTTTGAAATAGCTGAACTGTTTACTTTGGACATGGTTGCAAACAAAAGCTCAACCGGTGAAAGAGAGTTCACTGTGGTGTCTAAGTGCCATTTCTAACATTGTCTTGAAATCTTGCCTCTGTTTTAAATGTACGCTTTTTATTTCTAGTGGACTTGTTTCTGTAGTTTTATTTAAAGTAGTGCACGTAACAGCTATTTTGATCATGACAAAAGTTTTGTAAATACTTGCTGTGTAGCCTGTTTGACCGAGTGTGTATTGAATACACAGTTAACTGGTAATATTAAACACAAATTGTATATATTTTTTCTGCTTGATCCTTTTCAGCTTCTTTTTGTACGTTTCTGAACAAAAATTGCAAATCCCAGCATTTGAAATAAAGGTGTATTTTTTTGTATGAAAGCTTTGTTCTTTTTATTGCCATGCAATGATAAAATCTGCATTTGGAATCATTCTTACTCTTGGGATGAAGGTAGGATAAAATATCATTTTCAATTGGTTTGAGCAAAATGTGAAACACATGCAAGTTTTAAATATAAAACTTGCAGCTTGCGAATAAAGCTTGCAGGACACAGCGTGCCACTGATAGAATAGAATAGCCTTTATTGTCATTGTACAGAGTACAACGAAATTGGAGAGCCACTCCCTTGGTGCAAGATAAATAATAAATATAAATGTAAAATATAAAAAGTACAATAAAATAATCGCAAGTACTCAAACGATATATACAGGATAGCAGCATTAATATAATGACAGTATGAACAGCAGCATAATATAATGGCAGTGACGGTACGGTATAGCTAAGCAGGTTCAATTGTTTTTGTGCTTATTTACTACGGTGATAGCTCTGGGAAAGAAGCTATCCCTGAATCTGTTTGTCCTGGTTTTATGTGACCTGTACCGTCAGCCTGACGGTAATAGTTCAAACAGTTGGTTGCTGGGGTGAGAGTGGTCCTTGATGATATTGCCAGCTCTGCTGAGGTACCGAGAGTTTGCAGTGACCTCCAGGCTGGGCAGAGAGCAGCCAGTGATCTGTGGGCTGTGTTCACTGGCTGCTCTCTGATGCTGCTGAATGCGTGGTAGATCCACATCTGCTGTACTTGATGTCTACGGGAAATTGTTACGTGACTATGTCAGACTCTGGATTTGCAAACTATTACTTGACTGACAATGGCTGCTCTACATTAAGAAGAAGAATTTAGAATTTGGTAATATAGTTTGAGAACCCACAAATTCAAATGACAAAAATAGGCTTTTTCCCAGAAATAAATTGACATATTTTATTTTTCAGGCACGTGTTTTGGGAAATACCTCTTCCAAAGGATTCCCTTTTGAAACGTTAAGATGTCTGTGTTGGGACCTGGGAATTACCAAACCCTGTGAACTCTGCTGACAGTGGGAGGTGGCTCTTTGACCTCTCTCCATGAACCCAACCTGGGCGGTCATAATGGAAAAGCCTAATATTCCCTGTGGGACTCCCACAGTTTCCTAAAATACCTCCTCAGTGGAAACTTTAGTTCATAGCTCAAATCAGCGGGGGCTGACAGTGTGGTCGGTGCTTCTGATTGCATTATTTTTGCTGTCCAGAGGTGTGTGGAGATGTGTGGTTTTAACATGTGGCTATAGGATTTTAAGCTTGTTATGTTGTAGTCAGTTGTATTTACTCTAAAAAAAATTTTTTTATTGATATGAATACGAATTTTTTGAGGGATTTGCATAGAAAAAGTGAATGGATTCCATCTTATGCGAAATAGACCAGAAAACCAGTAACATGTAAAGAACAATACAGTAACAACTTGAAAAACATGCAGAATACAATTTAAAATCTTAGGTCAATACAGTATCACTGACATAAAGAAACCTTTTATGTATCAACACTGTATCAGTTATTATTATTTCAGCTTGTATAATGTTCTTAGTTCAGCATGCTGGCATGATACTGACATTAACACTATAACTGGGGCTATTGGGAATGTCAGCAGGACTGACCATGAGGCTGCCTTGCAAATAGAAATTTTGAGCTGATAATGCAAAATGAAAAGTTATCTTTCATTATGGTTATCTTAGAAATTTCTCTCCAGTTAATTATATGGCAGAGCTGCTAAATATAAAATCTTGAACATTAATTTCTGAGCAGCGAACAAATTGCTTTTACCTTAAGTCTCCAAGGAGCTTTAATTTTTCTTAAAAATTGAAAATAAAACCCAATGTGGTGGTTTAGCTACATTAAGTACTGTTTAGTTGTACTGTATACAGTATTTCATCTGACTTTAGTGATTTGTGAACGTATGAGGGGGTATTAGAAAGCGTGAGCATATTGCTCCCCCAAGTGGTGTTACCATGCTCTTGAAAACCTAATGTGAATCATTTTTCATGTCGTGCAATAATAATGTACTCAAAAATGATAATATTACAGCTGTAAAAGCATTTATTGTGATTTTCTGACATTTTCTATATAAAGTTCCATCATATTGTTGCACATGGTTAAGTGGCAGATTCCTTCATCACTACGCAGCTGGAAGCACACTGACCACAGCTTGTTAGTCTTCCAGCTCATACAGGAAAAGATATCCATCTCTGTCTCTCTGTGAAGAGTAACGATGAAAAAATATATATATATATATATATATATATATATATATATATATATATATATATATATATATATATATAAATATATATATAATGCTTTAAGAAATACTCTTGAAAAACATTTTTAGTAGGAAGTTTAAAAAGTAGTAAATTAAAAAGCAAAGGTCAACATCATTGTTGCCAAGCATCCAGCACTGAAAGGAAATCACATCAGTGGTAGGATTAGATTAGTCCTCTCGTTCATTCAATGACGTCCAATATGAAATCAGAAACACGAATATCAAAACAAACATCCAGTATAAGCGATTTGATTCTGGATCTTGAAAAATTTCTCGGAACTTCCGTTGCAGCCTCTGTACACAGCTGAGTTCCTCAAAAGGACGAAAGAACAGGAAAATCCTCTCGCTGAAGTTGCAGTCAGTAACAGAGTACACTATCATTGCATTGTCTGGATCATAGAAGAACAAGCATCCCTGCTCATAATCTACAAACACCATGACTCTTTCAGGCCTTCTTCTTAAAACAGGCATTTGCAGGCATTGTTGACATCTGCAGTAGTTACTTCCTGACCTTACAATCCAATTTCCATTCCTGGGGTTTGGTCTGAATTTCTTTTGTCTTTGCATCGACTCCGGGACAACTCCTAAAACCCAGCCGGTCTGCCCTCCAACATGAACCTCATAGTAAAATCTCCCTTCAGACAAGCCCTTATTTTCAGAGATGTAGGAATAGCCACCGATATGCCGTGGCTCCTCAGTGAGAAAAGAAAAAGGAGGAGGACCTACTATCTGATTAGGCACTTTTTCTTTTGCTTTACCTTTGCTTTTCTTCTTCCTCTGTGTTTTCAGTTTTATCCTCTGATAATTCTGTGCTTGTTCTTGCTTAATTTCTGGCTCTTCTAATTTTTTCTTCCCCATCTGAGCTCTTTTATCTACATATTCTTCCTCCAAAGGGACAGTATCGTGAGCGCTGTGTTCCGTACACAGGGTACAAACACGAGTCTGCTCTGTCCTACAGAAGAGCTCTAAAATTTTGTTGTGTTTTGTGCATATTTTGTCCTCCAGGTCAAGCACAGGATTAGTCAGTCTGTGTCTTTTTAAGGCAGCGACTCTCTTATGAGGCTCTAAATGTGTCTCGCAGAAAGAAGCCAAACAGACTAAACAGGTTTTAGAGGCTCTGAACTTATTGCCAGAGCAATAATCACATGGCACCTGTCCAGGTGGAAGTGGAGAATTATTCTCAGCTGTTACAGGGAGCGTCTTAAAATTCTCCACAACCTCCCTGAATCCGGTGTTGACACGAAGTTTGAGCCCTTTGTTGAACTTCTCGTTGCACAGTGGACACTGACGTTGCTCTTTGTCTTTCCAGTGTTTGGTGAGACAGGCTTTGCAGAAGTTGTGTCCACATGGAATAGAAACAGGCTCAGTGAAGACATCCAGGCAGATGGAGCACTGGAGCTGATCTTCTGTCAGAAAACTGCTGGCTGCGGCCATTCCTGGAGCATGAGTTTGAAATCTATTGAGTATCAATAATAATACCTATTATTAATTCATAGAATTACTAATATGAGCCATTACACACCAGAAAAAAATAACAAAACAAGGCTAAAAACATGATCATAGAGTGACCCCGATGCTGCTGTCAACTAAACTTCCACGTAAAAGTCTAATCAACAAGTTTTAATCATTCACTTTACTTTGAATAAACATAATTAAATGGATGTTATTAAAGGACTTGATCCTTACCTTCCTGGACACAAATTCTTATTTGTTCTGCTGCCTCTTTAAAACAAACTATGCTGCCTTTAAAAGTTTGACTTTCGACTGCGCTGCAATGCTCACTTTCATTTCCTTATAAACGATTGAAATGTGCTCCTCCTCCCCTGACTCACACTCACAGGGAACAAGTCCAGGTTTAACTGGTGAAGTATTGTTGGCATCCACATGGCATGAAAAGTATGCATGTAAAAATGTACTATAAAAACAACAAACTATAAGCAGAATTCAAAGTATTAAAATACTCATCCTAGTTTTCTACATAAACCAGGGGAGCTGAGCCCCGCCTTGTATGCAGACCTGTTTCCTGTCTTTGTACACAAACTGCTCTGTTTGCTTTCATTTCCTTGTAAATGATGCGAAAGTAGCTCCATGCTCTGCTGAGTAACACTCCCTTTGACTTGTTTATTTATGACCCTCACCTCTTAACAGCCCTGAAAAGCAAATAATGACATTAAATGACTGAGAGCATGAGTTATATAAGCACTACTGTCTTTAATTATCTCTTACTGCAATCACTAAATTAACTTATTTACAAAAGCCACGAGAAGCGACTTTGAGTGTCTTAATCTTGAAAAACTCTCTTCTTGTAGCAAGCAAGTGGTTACTTGTACAGCCTCTGTTCTTAAAGGGTTAACTTCCACAGCTATGTTTGTGTGTTTCGCTCACAGGAATGAACTATTGTGCAATATTCCTTCCTTTGCCTGCACATTTGACTGAAGTTCTTGTTTCTAATTGTGGTTGCCTGAGTTTTAAAACCACCCAGAAACAGATAGTGCAAAGTTGTACTTGGTCAACAAGTTATATGATAATGTTTTATTTTCTTCTATAAAACCAAAGGTAAGCACTTTACACACTTTAAGTGCTACCAGCATGACTATAATCCGTTTTGTTTTATTTTTTTCATTTCAGTATCAGATTCCATTTGGCACCAGCATGTCACACTGACAGCTGGCTTCTCATATATTTGTATAGCTTTGTGCCAGTCAGTTGTCCAGCTGCCATTAACTTAATCTCCCAGCCCCCTTTTCACCA